GATCTGGAAGTGCTTTTCCCCAGAAATTGCTTTTTTAGATGTATTTTCTTTTTCTTTTGTTCTTTTTATTATTATTATTATTATTATTTTCTTTTCTGTTGCTGCGAGACACTCACGTGGATAAATGACCCCGGAATTTTGGAGCCTTCTGAAGACATGTTGGCAGTTGGATTAAATTCGACGATCTGATCGGGCAATTTTGAGAGATCGCAAGACCCCGTGAGAAAGAAATGCAGAGCTCTCAAGCTGAAACTGAGGTCAGGATTTTCATTTCTGTTGGAACAGGACCTGGGAAGGGGGCTTTGGCCTCTGGGGTATTATTACAAGCTGAGAAAAAGGAACCAGATTGAACGAACGGGCTCGCCTCTGCTGAAAATTTGCGTCCCTATGATATGGTGAATTATACTATTAATGAATGCTTTAACCAGCACGATGCAGGGAGTCGTTAGCAAGTGCGTTGGCAAGGAAATAATGAATTATTAGTGCATGCAGGTAACTAACTATCTGCAAGATACCCAGATCGCGCATCGCTGGTCTCGCTGCCGAGCCTTTACGGAGCTAGTTAGGTGGTTTTTGGATTTAACTCCACCCCGAAAAAAGCCTTTTTTCCCTTTCCTGGTAAAAGTGACGAACCGTGCTCAAGCGCTTGCGACGAATGTTTGGTTGGCGCTCCGAATTCGCTTCTCCAACCCCCGCGTGGAAGCAGGTCGGGGCTGACCTCGGCATGAATGGAACAAGGAGACGTGAATACGAGCTGTGGCCCATGGTTAAGTCATTAGTTAATACCCGAGAATATGTCGCGTGCCCGGTGCCGAATTCCTAACTGTAAACCGACTCCTTAAACGAAACAGTAAACAATGATGATCCATTCATCCATTTCATCGTAGCTATTCTGAGTGTGCGATCTGCAGAAATAATATCCGAGACTGGCTAGGAGTCTCTCTCCCTTCAACCCCACCCCCAACCTCTTCATCGCCAGAAAAGCCTTCCCCGCGTCGTTTAATGTTCGGTTTTCAAGGTTGAAATATATCCGCATGCTTATTCTCAGAGAGTGCGAACTGCTATCTTCGCATCCCCTCCTTTCCCTTTAGCATTTTCGATTGCTCTTGTCCCAAGTCTTGCTGAGAGATGCAAAAGCCGCGGGGTAGATTTCCAAGGTTAACGGGGTTGCGGAGGTATCCTGATGCCCTTGAAGATTCGATGAATAATCACACCAATTCAGTCTCTATTGTCGGGTGGCCATGAGCGGCAACGTATTGATAGAAGTAGCAAAATGCCGGTGCAATTAATTATGTAGTTTATTTATATATATATTATATAAATAAGTATGTTCGTGTACGTGTATTCTTGCGGGTGGTAACTCTCTCTCATGAATGGCTGTTTCCATAGAGATGACATTGAGACACATGAAATTCTCGGGAATAAGGATATTTTAAGTAGAAGAACCAATTTTTTATTTATTTACGTGAACAATTGAAGCTGACCATCTGCAGTCTCCAGTGTTGGAATTGCTGATAAGTTGATACCCGTTCCCCTGCAGATGTTCTAATCGTCTTTTCTCTTTCTCTTTTCTTTCTTTTTCTTCTTCTTCTTCTTTTCTTTTCTTTTCTTTTCTTTTCTTTTTCTTTTCTTTTTCTTTTCTTTTTCTTTTTCTGTGAAAGGAAAAACTTCCTTGCTGCTGAACTGACAGTTAGTCGGTCAGTCACCGATTTGCTCTCTTCTTTGCTTTTTCCCTGTTCCTCTCTTCCTTTCTTTTTCTCCTCCTTCACCCATCTACCGTTCGCCTTACTCGCATAGAACTCTTGCTCTCTTGTCCGTCTCTTATTCCATTCCTTTGGTTGCCCTCTCCCCGCTTCTCTCCATCCAACCATCCATCCGCACATCCGGCTTGCTTCTCCTATAATCTCCCACCCCGCCCGTTTCTCTCTTCCCCGCCCTCCAAACCCTGTTTCCACCCCCTTACATACGGCCCTCTTGTTGCCGCCGATTCCTCTTCCCCTCTACATCCCTCCGCATTAGCCCCAATCCGATCAACACTCCCCTATGTCTGTCAATGCGCTACCCGCCTTCCCGTCCACCGTGCGTCCGGCCCTGTTTGAACCACGATCTGACATTCCCACCGGCCTTCTCCGAAACTAATCTAATAACCACTATCCCATATTGACTACCATTACCGGTACCATTGCCATTCGCCATCTCTATCGTAGTCACAATCGCAATCACAGCACTCCCCATCACAATCCCGACCCCTATCGCCGTCCCCGACAAACCACCAACTTCCGCCTCGTAGGGTTTCTCCAGGTTGCACTACCGTTGGTTCCATGGTTCCCCCTCTGTGATGTCGCATCGTCATTTTTCAGCCAACCACGCTTTCCACGCGCCCATTCGCTACGACTTCGTCAGTTCGTGACAGCCTTGTCCCTCTGTGATTCTGTCTTCAGCCCGAGTTATCTGACTGCAGTTTTGACCTAGCTTGGTTGACCTCGTTTACTCTGCAACCCCCTCCCCGTCTCCCCCTCAATCTCTCCCTCCACCTCTACCCCCACCGAGCCGTCTCTCCCTTCGCTTCTCAAGCCCCCCCCACACCTCGCTCATCCAATATCGACTAGACTCGATCAGCTCGCGTGTTACACTAGGTTAGATCCTCCAGTCAGATTTCTCAACGCCCTGGCCGTGGTCGCGTGATCCCACTTTCTGCTGTTCCTCTGCTTGGCTGCAGCACACCTCACAGCTGCTGTGTTACCACACTCGAACCGCTCGTGCGTGTCGGTGTTGTCAGCCCTCTTCGAAGACCTTAGCAATTGTAGCCATTACCCTACAAGTCTCAACGCAGTGTGGTGTCTGTGGTTTGATACGTCTCAGTAAGAATCTTTTTCACTTTTAATGCAACCTTTTTTTAAATTTTTTTTTTTTAAGTATTTTGGGGGGTCTTTGCCCTTTTAATCAAGTATAAAAAAGGAGGGGGAAATGGAAAGAGGAATATAAAGGTTTTTTTTTTCTTTTCTCTCTCTCTCTCTCTCTCTCTCTCTTTTTTTTTTTTTTTTTTTTTTTTTTTTTTTTAAATATACATATACATATACATTCATATATATATATATATATTAATTCATAAGGATAGGTGGAAGGAAAACACCTTCGGCTATTTGCAGACGAAAAGAAAAGCTCCAACTACAAACGTGCACATCGCATCGATCGACAGGACGCAGCCACAGTAGAATCACCCCCCCTTCTCTGTTGCCGCCGCACCGCATTTCTTTTAGCCCTACCAGCCCCCACATCTCTTGCACAGCCATCCCTCCCACCCTCCTAGGTTAATCAATATATATATTTATATTCTATATATATCTCTATATCCCCACATCTGCATATTATGACCTCCAGCGTCAGAAATGGATCGCCGTCACCCTCCCCGGCGCTTCCTAGTACTACTACCCCTGCAGAACAAGAATCCCGAAACGCCATGACAATGGCCAACAACCCCGGAGACTGGGACTCCTCCGAGTCGCGACCGCAATCTCTGTCCAACGGGAAAGGAATTGGCAATGGCATGGTTGCAAATGGTCATCAGAAACCTTCCACTTCATCGACAGCTGCCAGTGCCAACAATGCGAGCGCCAAAGACCCTCTTCGCCCAAGGAGGAAGAAGGCGAAGAGAGCTTGTTTTGCCTGCCAGAGGGCACATTTGACATGTGGTACGTTAGTCTTCGTTGCTTCATGATATTCTCCCAGCATTTTACCCCAACTACTTAAGCAATTGGGTTACCTATTCACTCCTTTTTAAACCTCTTGTTTTCAATTTATAATCATTATGTTGGATGATCATTGATCTGCCCTGACTCCTTGCCCCTGCCACTCATTACGCTGTGATAGAAAGCCAGAGAGGTTGATTGAAAATAGTTCCAGTTTCCTCTCCTTTGATTTATTACTAATATTCTTATTACTAATATTCATATTCTTGATGTTGTTTTGCATTGCTGTTGGGAAAATTTGAAAACTGACATGGCGTGAAACTTATTTTTAAAGGGGATGAGCGACCTTGCCAGCGATGTATCAAGCGTGGGCTACAAGATACATGTCACGACGGCGTACGGAAGAAAGCTAAATATCTTCATGATGCCCCGAACGAAGCTCTCATACCAGGCATTCGAGGAAATCTCTACAATCAGGCACAGGCGGCGCGAAATAAAGTCAACAGCAACTCGCAACAACGAAATGGTACCAATTCTAACAGTGACAACAATAGCACCAACACCAACAGCAACAACAAACCTTCGCACCAAGATGTCTCAACCAATTTCTTCTCGACGCCGTCCGCCAACAACTACCACAACGTCTACACCCAGGCGAAATCGCGACAAAGCCAGCACATGCCCTCCAGAGTAATGCAGGATGCCACAATGAACCCCAGCGCATTCCAAGCGCAGCCCCCCGCGTCACCCACTTTCGATCTCTCCTCAAATCCACAAAATCACACTCTTTCCCCGTCTATTGCGCAAAATTCCGGCACTACCCCATCTTCCAGCGCCTCCCAAAACCCCGATCCCTATGGCTCTACATTCTTTGACCCAAGTCACCCTGCACTGTTCAATTTTGACATTGCCAGCATGAATTTTGGAAATCGGTATGGGGCTTTGGAATTCGGAATGCTAGGTCATTTGGCTACGGGAGCCGGAGACACTCCGCCCAGCGACACCGCCACCCGGCGCGGATCAATTGGGCGCAGCTCTGGTACATTTACAGTGCAAAACTTTGGAGAAGGCTCCAGCAACCAATCCCCCTTCCTATTTGGTGGCGACCCGGTGCTCAATGACTGGAATCCGGCTGGACAAGGCCCGACCAATCCTCGAAATATCTACAATCAGAATAGTGTCTCAGGCCAGATGACTGATCACCCGCACGCGTTCGCTATCGAGAGTGCGCCGATGAATTTTGCCAGTCCCACCTCGACGGAAAGCCCGCAGATGACAACAGTAACCCAGTTTGATGATCCCAGCGTTAATTTCTCATCCAGAACCACTCTCATGCCTCCAACGAATACCCAACATCAGCAGCAACCACAGCCACCCCGAATATCGACCCCCAGCCTCAAAAACATGCAAGTAGGTGTGAAACGTCGCTATCGCAGCCCCTCTTCAATCTACGAAAGCGTCAAGGAACCGTACTCCTACACAAGTGGCTTCCACAGCCTCACGGCCTTCATCCAACGGCGCTTTTCGCCACAGAAGACCTTGCAAATTGCCAAGGCGCTCGCATCCATCCGCCCCTCATTCATCGCCACGACCAAAACGCTAAACCAAGACGATCTTATATTTATGGAGAAATGTTTTCAGCGCACTCTCTGGGAATATGAGGATTTCATTGATGCGTGTGGGACGCCGACGATTGTTTGTAGACGGACGGGAGAGATTGCTGCTGTTGGAAAAGAGTTTAGTATACTTACTGGATGGAAGAAGGAGGTATTATTGGGCAAGGAGCCGAATTTGAATGTTAATACGGGCGGTTCTTCGTCGTCTGGTGTATCGTCGCGTGGTAGCAGTACATATAACTCGCGCAACTCTGCAACGACGACGGTGATGGACAATCAGAGTCTACCTGCGGGGCGCACGCAGCCGGTCTTCCTCGCTGAATTACTGGATGACGACAGTGTGATTGAGTTTTATGAGGATTTCGCGAAGTTGGCATTTGGTGATTCGCGGGGTAGTGTTATGACGACGTGTAAGCTGCTGAAGTACAAGACGAAGGAGGATGGGGTAGGATTGTTTCGGAATAGCAACGGGGAGGTATCTGCTGGTGGTGGTGACACGGACGCCAATGATAGCGCTGGTGCTGGTGTTGGAGACGGAACGACAACAGCAGTTAACGGTGTCAGCAATGGCAGTAGCAATAACGCGACCAACGTCAATGCCAACGGAAATGTCAATGTCATTCCAAACGATCTTTCTGGTGCGTCGTCTATGAAGTCATCCCCGAAACAAGCGTGGGGCAAGAGTCGGATTGCCGGTGAGGCTGGGATGAATCAGTTGGGATTCCGAGATGGGAAGGTCGAGTGCAGTTACTGCTGGACGGTTAAGAGAGACGTTTTTGATATTCCTATGCTTATTGTAATGAATGTAGGCGTTTTCCCATATTTTACCTTTATTTCGCTACGCTTCCACCACTTCCCCCCCCCCCCCCCCCGTTCTAGGATTGTCCTACTAACAAGTTCATTCGCTTTGATATAGTTCCTACCTTGCATTTAACTGAAGGCATAAAGTCTGCGGTCTTGGATGTCTACTGATTAATTTCTTCTTTTCTCACTTGATTTAGCTTGGCATTATTTCTATTTATTGATTGAAGTTACCTCCCATCATCTTTCCTCCTGATATCTACGATGACGACCAACACGTTCTTCTTTTAATGGTATTGTTTATTTTGGAGAAAGCCCCGCATGTTTTTCATATATTCTTTTTCTTTTTCGTCTACTTAAAATGACCCCACTGGGCGGAACAAAATGGGGGTGTTCGGGTTTTCATTTTTATTTTTTCATCATCACCTTTCCTGTTCCAAAGATTCTCGGTACAAAAATGGCCCTCTTCCTTCCCTTTACGACTACTTGTGGAGAGAAAAGAGTGATTTTCACGGGTGGGAATCGAGAGGAGTTTGATGTCATTGTATATATTCTGTTCTCTTCTTGTACCTGCTAGCACATGTCAGCCAGCGGCGAGAAAATGCGCGCTTGTATATATGATGATGGTCATGATGAATGAAGCTTCGTCCTGAGTTGATTTTAAATCACTCTGAAAAACAGAAACCCGTTGATAAACTCCGTTAAAATCAAATCTTCATTTCGGTCTATAAGCGAAACACTAGCGACACCATATCTAGAAAACTTAAAAAAAAAAAACACAAGAATACAAAAACAAGATAGAATTGGTATCAAGGAAGAGATAGAAGATAAGCATGCTACAACTACCACCACAACTCATTCCCCATTCCCCATTCCCCATTCCCCATTCCCCATTCCCCATTCCCCACGCCCCATGCCCCATGCCCCATGCCCCATGCCCCACGCCCCACGCCCCATGCGCCTTTGTCCACTTTCGTATCCCCTTCAAACAAACCCACCTAAAAGTTCCTCAGCCAGTCCCTCGCCTCCCTCACTCCCCTTCCTTCCCCACCACCAGCTCCCTTTAAATAGCCCAGATACCCCTTCCTCTCCAAACTCCTCCTCGCCACCTCACAGTCGATCCGGATATCATCCACCAGCGCCTCAAGGCTGACATAGTCGTATTCAGGCCGGATATAACCCAGCACCAACAGGTTTAGGCGTGTACCGTAGAAATCGGGCAGGCGGAGGAAGTTGGGTCGTTGGTTTTGCTGGTTCGTTTGGGCGGTGTTGTTGATTGGGTGGGCTGAAGGGGAGCCGTTCATGCTGGAACTCGGACTGGTGAATTTGGGGAGGAGGTGGATTTCCTGGGTGAGGTTTGTTAGCTTGGTTGTTTTCTTTTTCTTTTACTTTTTCTTTTCTTTCTCATTTTGGGTGAGGAGGCAATCTTAAATCATAAATTGAGGATATTTTAAAAGTAAGCGCGTTTACATACCACAGACCGAACCGTATTCTTATAGAAGGGATTATACCCTATGCTCAGAACGCAGGGGAAGACATTTGCATCGGCATCTTCGAGTGTAGGCTCCGGTGGTGGCGTTTCAAGGGCACCATTTGTTTGTTTCTCGGCATCGCTATCCTTTTTATATTTGAATTTGGATGGGTCAAGAGCGGCGACGCCGTAGTATACGCCTGACTCAACATGTCCGTATGCTGAAAGGGAGTCGGGGGGAATGTTGGCGGTGGGGATTCCGAGCTGCGTATTACTTTTAGCGGGGCCCTTTCGGTTTGATGTAGATATGGAAAGGGCAAGAGAAAACAACAGCAAACGGTGAGAAAGAGAGCATGCTTGAGGAATAAGAGATATCCAACATTCATGGTACATCATTTGCTTCATCCTGGGAGCTTTCTTATGCATATGTCTTCATGTGCAGTAACGAAGTTGCAAAGAGGCGGAGAAGGGGTATGTCAGGAGTAGAGCCACATAACTTAAAAGGGAACTAATATGCAGTGCATTGAGCAGCAAAAGGAGAATTTATTCATATCCTCTCCTATTCATAAACAAATCCCACTGGTGCATAGGGTGCAAAGGAGGACAATATGGGATTGGGTCATAAAGACAAGGGATATACTTAATCCATGAAAAAGGACAATCGACAGTTGAATACAAATGTATAATAAAAGGAGGAACAGAGATAAAATAGCATGACTTTTTTAATAAAATAAAATAAAATAAAATAAACTGAAAGAACAAACCTACCTCCTTACTACCCCTCCCGAACCCTTTGATAACTGGACCAGAGAGTTTCATGGGAAATGGATGTTCAGGGCCAGATTCTGGCCCAGCCACTGGGTCCCTTAGGCTCTCTAGACGCATTTTTTGCTGCCTTTTCCGGTTGCCTTGTGTGCGCTTTTCTTCAACTCAGTATTCAGTAGGCAAGCTGCATCTGATGCAGCTGCACCCTTGATATCTGAATATCGAGAATATGGGTGGCGGGAGAATCGGTGAAAACTCTCTGGCCTGGTTTCGTGGGGGGGTTGATCACCGAAACGCGGGGGAAGCGAGAGAACCATGGACACAAGCAGTGGCTATGCCGGGAACGATTAGATAGACATAGATATATATCTAAATATATATATATATATATATATATATATATAGATAGATAGATAGATAGATGGATGGATATACATATACATGCGGTGAAAACCTGGAGTTCGAGGATTTTGACATAGAGAAGCCTAGGTACGATATACAGAGGTGAAAGGCCAAAGAAGGCCGAGGGACGGGAGATGAGTTAGTCATGTTAACCTCCGGCGCGTATTGGGTTGGTATTAATACGAGAGTTTGCAGCGCCGCATTATTGAATCGGGGGAGTATCGTGAATACAAGACGCCCGATATGTATTATATAGCTTCGCAAGGTGCAAAAAAGAAATCCCAATCCCCAGGTAGAAATATGTGCGTGAGATTTTTCACCCTCGCTCAAGAATCAAATATATAAGGAAGCGAAGAGAAAGAAAGAATCAGCGGCGTTTTGTTTCAAGCCCCATTTGCCCCTCTCCTGAACACAACCAAATACAAGCCGCCCTCGAAACCCCATTTGTCAGAAACCCCATTCCAATATTCCCACTGTGTTTTATTATATATTAACGTCTCTCTCTCATAACCCTCTATCATGTATATAGCATCACATCTTCACATCTTCAGTTTATAGACTCCGATCCCACCCCCACTAAAAAAAACACCACCATTTGTTTGACCTAACCCCGCTCTAGCTAGACTCAGCAGCCTTCCCTTCACCAGTGCGCGGCGGATATTCCTTCTCGCCAAACTTGGCCTTCGGAGCGCAGGTACACCAATCCTCTGTGGGGATCGTGTCCATGACGCCTGCGATATGCTGACCGCAGCCAAACCAGGTTTTCTTGGCTGTGATGGGTTTTCCGTTTTCCCAGAGGCGGGGGAGGGACAGGTGTTAGCGGGTTGGTATATGAAGGCAAAATGGGACACAGATTCAGGAGTAGATGAGAATGCAGATGTGAAATGAGAAATGGGATATGGAGTTGCTAATTACTCCGTTGATTCAACATTGGATTGTGTGCGGCACTTACAGCAGGTGGGGCAGGTTGCTGGCTTGCACATTTTCGATTTGTTTGGATGCCGACTAGTCCCAGATGATGGCTTTGGAGAGAGATGAGGAGTGTATTCAAGTTAAGATATGGCAAGTGAGGCAATCTCGAATGATGAAAGAAGGCCTTTCTTTTTTTTTTTTTTTATTTGCGATATTAGGAGGAAAAGAAAGTGGAGAAATGATGATAAAGAAGAAAAACAAAAACAAAAAAAAAAAAAAAAAAAAAAAAATCGAGCATGCTTGGCCGGTTGGGGTTTGGGGTTGGTTAATCAGTGAAGTTTTCGTGAAGCGGGGTAAATTGGGGAAAGATACATCCGGCCATTTCCCGCTGGATGTGTGTGTGTATGTATACATGTGTGGTCCGATATGTCATCTTTTTCCTGGTTTGACAACAGCTCAATTCTTGACATTGAACCGGATCATGGGCTGTGTTTTACATTAGTGGCTCTATGGTATATGGACCGCCCAATTGCAAAGATTCTCCTGTAGCTGTAGTGGTTGCTGATTCTCTGGAAATGATGTCATAGAAAGTTGGTGATTCATGACATTGGGATTGACCATTTTGTGATTGAGTTTTACGCAGACATTAGGAAGAAAAGAAATTATCGACTTCATTTTATTATAAAAATAATCTGAGAACAACGGTCTTTCTTTTTTCCAAAAGTGATAAGTATCAAACTTCAACATCCCAAATCCAAATCCATATCCAGCTGTGTCTGAGGCCAATCCTTTTATAGCCAACAAATCCGGCTCTAACTGGCGAGGAGGATCAGGGCGATAAAAAGAAGAACAATGAGGGTGAAGTAAAACGGGGCGGGGAAACGACCAGAAGAAAACCAGAAAGAAGGAAAAGAAACGAACAGCAATCTCATAAGCTTGAAATCGAGGACCCGGATGCCTGGATATCCAGCTCATAAAAGAATGTGATAGCCCTTAGCCTGGGAAATACTGCGATTTGCTATACCTCTAAAAGCCTAAATGCTGGTAATGTAGATGGCAAGCTCCAGCATTCTGCTCTTTACAAGACGCCAGCAACAGCTACCACAGCCACCACGGCCCCTCCAGCGGCAGCAAAATATGATATCCGTCCCGTCGCCGCGGGCATACCCCCAGTACTGATTGTCGAGCTCGGACTCGCAGGCCGGCTTGTGTCTGCGCCCTGAGTCGTGCCCGCGCCCTGAGTCGTACCCGTACCCTGAGTCGTGGTGGCAGTTTGAGTGGTTCTAGCATTCTCAGTCGCAGCAGCAGTGATATCCACCGAAGAGGCAGCAGACGCCTCACTGCTAATCGAAGCCACGACGGAAGATACCTGCTTGTCATAGTCCTTGGCGCTCAGGGGAACGGTGACTTCGCCATCGTCGCACTCCGTGGGCAGGCCATTGATGCCTAGCGTCTGGCGGCGGATGAAGCGGAGAGGGTCAATTTTTCTTCTTTCGAGGGTGCTGTCTGGGGTTATGCAGCAGACGCCTTGAGGCTTTAGGCCGTCTTTGTCGTAGGTTATGCCGCCGCGCATGGTGCCGGGACAGCAGCGTTCGACGTCATTGGTGCGGATGCAGGAAGAGGCAGCTGTGGGGATTGTGTGGAGGGTTAGGATGAGGAGGGGGATGAGGAGGGATGTGAGGGATAGGGTGGAGCGAGAGGACATTGTTTAAGAGTAGGTGAGGTTTTTTTCCGTGTGGTGGACGGGTGCCTGGCTCCGTGGAGAATGAGGTTGTGGGTTAAGGGGGCAAGGTAAGTATGTCTTTTCTGATTACAATGTGTGCCACTCTCTATCTAGGTTGATGCAATGGAGTAAATGATAGATATATGGCTATGTTTATAACCAGGAATAAAATATAACCGGCACATCGATGGACATAGGGCACAAAAAGAGGAGAGAGTGGAACATTCGACCGACTTGGGCCGCTGAAGGTTCAATCGGTCTCCTTATGTATGCAGATCTTCATCAGCCACAAGGCTCCTTGCAAGAGATTGTTTTCATGAATGAACTGGTTTAACAGGGATAAATAAATGCCACTACCCCCCCCCACACCCCCAATTGCCTATCATCCATCCCAGGAAGCTCCTAATAATAATTCCACAAGCACAACTTCACAGAATCCACACTAAAAATGTTTCATTTGACGCTCCAGCCTTGTGAGAAGCAGCAAAAGCACACGCTCGCTGGGAGCTGAAGGGCCAATGAACGGCGTCAGGTTCAGCCATGGTAAAACGTGTTGCCTGTCAGTGCTTGGCCCGATTCGACATCTTTTGCTTTTTCTTTTTCTTTCTTTCTTTTTTTTTTTTGTCTCTCCTTTGCCCAGACCAGTCTCATTGCGTTTTAAACGAGAGCTCCTCAAGAGGGAGGCGGAAGATAATATATACAAGCACACCCCTTCGTCACATTTCACGGCTTGAGCCACCAGCCCCGAATAAACCAGTAGCCAGGACCACTTTATGCATGACCTTGCTGCGGACGATATGGCTGGGTACGAAGAAAGGAAAGTAAATTCCTCTGAATTTACTGCATAAAATCTCTGGAAGGCTATTCCGGATACTGTGTAGCCTTTTAACTAGAGGCTGACGAGGCGACGCGGATTTTATCTTTTAAAAAACCACTCGCAAAAGGGCTGTTACGTAGTTACTCCAGTGGCTGACATCTAGATTTGGCAGACCCCAGGAATTTTGCACCAAACAAAGCAACGTGTGGCTAACTGTTAAGTGATGCGTGCTTGTACTAAGGTTCTCTGAAACATCGATAGAACAGGGTTAGCATGGAGGAGAAAAAAAAAAAAAAAAAAAAAAAAAAAAGGTTGGCAGAAAGAAACTTGAAACGAGTTGGTTGTTCCCAATCAGTAGTTTATCCTGCGCTCTTCTCACTCTCATGTCGATGCAGGTATGTGCTGTTCTGGGGTTCCACTCTAGATCCACTGGAAATCCGGCATGATATATTAGTTATACAATCCGGAGTTGATCTTATTGCGAATATCCTACCGGAAATTTATATGTTCTTTTCTTTCCTCACGTCTACTTTGGCCTATGACTCTATATACAAACAGGACAATGCGGGATGAGGTGACCGTTTATAGACTAAATAAAAAGAAGGAGAGTAGATGTGGATAGGCATGTCAAATCTATCTACCGAAGTTGCAGGAAACAGGCACACCGCGAGCCCTAAAATAATGCATAGGGTGTGGTTGCGACATGCCAGCAGGCCAAATTTCAACGTTCGCAGGGAAGCGTGAAATTATCTATGGTTTTTGCTCGAGTTATGATTTTTCCATCTCCTCCATCTCTTCCCTTCCCTTCCCTTGCCCTCTCATGAATTCGAAAAATAGGTCCTTGCTCGAGAAAACACCAGCGCTCGCTCCATGATGCAAAGATAGAAAATACGTAGATTAGACAAAGAGAAGCAATGAATACTGGTCACACAGGGAGGGGGAAAGATTTTAACAGGTAAAAAATAATCAGGAATCGCTTATGCATAATCAATTCATCGCCCACTCAATCGACTCAAAGCTGAATTAGATCCACCTCCGAAAAATCAGGCGGACTCCGACTAAAAATCGCCCGACACCGCCCATCCAACGCCTGATATTCATTACTAATCCAAATATGCTTGCTAAACCGCTGCGTCCTGAATACTTCATCATCACTAACACCCAGATCATCCCGCGGAATCCAGATGACGGGGCGTTTCATGCGCAGCGCCTCGTGCTGGAACGCCCGCTGGACGAGCTGGTCGCGTTCGTCTGGCGTGAGATCTTCCAGTTCATCGTGGATGCCGGAAAAAAGCGCCTGGCCTATCGCATAGGTTGCGGTGACTTGGGATTCTGCGTCCTTTGCTAGCTTTTCGCGCATGTGTTTGATGGTCGGGATGGTGGGGTCTGAGCGTCCGCCAAAGTATTTGGAGTGGCGATTTCTGGATCGATCGGCCCATGAGATGTGTTTGTGTTTGTGGCTACCCGGCACAAGTTTGCCGAGTTGTCGAGTCATCGCTCCCTTCTTATCTTTCCTGCCATCGATCCGGCCTAGCTTGATGTTCCCATGCTCCACTGGTCTTTCGTAGTGGTTATAGTCACTGTCATGATTTTGATCGTTGTTTTCTTCTTCGTCGTCGTCGTTGTCTTCGTCTTCATCGCCTTCTTCCACCAGACCCAGTCTCTTCCGTTGGGCACGAGCGAATACCTCATCGCGACGGCTTGCCTCGTCTTCCAGTGTTATCGGCAAATACCGGAACAACGGGTTGAACGCTTCGTTGAGGAGGTATTGAAAGCCAACTGTTAGAATCAAGACGACTATCATGCAGATAGCCTGACCTTCACAGGCAAAGTTTCCGTCCACGTCTCTGACGAGGAAAAACATGCCAATAAGACAGATTTCCATGACATATATGCCAGTGAAAAGTTGATTGATAGCTTTAGGGAAAAGCAGACCTCCCGTGTCGAAGCGGAATTTCGTAACGTAAAGAGTATTGTACCGATAAACGAACCAAAATAGCCCAAAGGTAAGCACATTGAAAATCATGATGAGTGGGGAAATGACACAATAGATCAAGCCTATTAATAAAGCGGATAGAGATTAGAAACAATTGCACAAAAATCAGCAAAATGGGCAAATTCACAATCACGAACTTACCGATTGATGCTAGGGTCGTATATACAGGGAAGAAAGTACCCCATTGCATCTGATTGAGATTCGTGGTCCGCGCCCACTTCAGTCTGGCAGTGTTGTCTAGAATAGGAGCCAAAACAAACCAGCTGACAAGACCAAAGATCTGAACCAGCGCACCAGCACTGACAGACATGGCTTGAAGCACCATGTAGGAGAAGAAATAGTTGCTAGCTCGAGGAATATTTTGAGCCAGAAGCTCAGGAATACTTGTCACATCCGTGATGGAATTGAATATGGTGGTAAAGCCAGACGAAATCGAGACGACGAGGAATATCTGAACGAACAGAAAGGCAAAATAGTAATTCTGCACAGTCAACTCGACAGCCATTCCCGTGTGCACGCCTTGGTTCTTGGAGAGAAATCGCAGGAGGAGAGGCAAAATGGCCATGAGGATAGCCAGAAACAATGGCGGCAAGATGCCCTGGATTGCCGAAATTAACCAGGTAGGCAATTTAGAGAGCCATCGCAGCCAGGAAAATTGCCCTTCAAGATAGGTGAGCTGAGACAGCAAACCTGTAAAGGCCACGGGGAAAGCCCAGCCAACGACCATGGCAGAGACAATGACGAGCACCCCAAAAGTCCTCAAGTATCGCTCCCACCATTTGATAGACATATTCTCCCAGATGACGTCGTCTGGAGATATTTCCACCAGCCGCGGTGCCATTTGCTTTGGTATATGATGGCTGACAGATTGACAGGCCATATGAGCAGCCACCTGATGATTAAATTGAACAAAGGCAGAATTCATAAGCGGGAATTTTTCCGGATGTTGCTGATCAATTTCGATTTCTAGATTCAAGCGGGAGAGTTCCTGACGACAGTGATAGATCGTATCCACTTTTTTGCCTAGGAGAGGTATTGTGGGCATCCAGCTCCAACCAAAAATCGGTAGACGCATAGTCTCACGATCTTTTTCTTTAATGTACTTCATCCAAAGCGGGTCCCCATAGTCATCCTCTTCGAACTCCTCGTTATAGGCCATCGGGTATGCCTGTCCTTCAATCTCGTCGCCTTCCTTAGCAGGGCGACGTCTGTTGAATCGGAAGGCCTTTTTCTTCTTTCTCTCATCCAATGGTGTTACGGGGGCAGGGTTCGTCAAGGGGTGCTCGTCGTCGTGGTGATCCTGATGGGCATTTGGTGATCGCGAGTTTTTCCATAGCTTCAATCGTGCGGGGTGTGGTTGTTGATCAACAAACCCATCCATATTAGGGGGTCCTTCTACATACGATTCTCCCAAGGACGGATGAGCCCCATCAGCCTCAGGAGAATCATCGACATGGGCTCCCGTTTGATGCTGGGCACTATCTGTTGGCTTTACTGCAGTGGTTCCAGCTCTCCTCAGACCATTCACAGGCTTCTCAGATCCGAGTTCGGTACCAGCGCCATTAGCTGCACCTGGTTGACCCTGATGCATGTTTACGGCATCATTTTCCATCTGGCCGTCAAACCCACCAGTGGTATGTAATGTGTCATCAGCAGTGTTGCCAACCTTCCGGAAACCGCCCCAAACCGTTTTCCCGAGCTTTGCAACTCCAGATCCTACAACCCCCGCCCCATTACCCACAAGTGGAATGAAACCACGATTACCATGTACCTGCTGCGTGAATGTCCTTTCTTCGCGACGGCCGTGTAATACTTCCTGGATGGTTCGAGCTTCGTGGGGGTTCCCCGAGCTGATACCAGGTTCTTCAGCGAGACGAGAGGCTCTTTGTTCCGCAGCCAATTTTTCATGATCCACTTCAGCTGGTTTCTTGCCTGATTTTCTGGCCTGGGCTTTTGCTTGTTTCAGCTGCGCCTTCTTGCATTTCTTTATTAGTTCCGTCTCCGCAGATTCAAGAACTAGAGCAATCTTATTACGTAGCTTCACTTTCTCACTCAGCTCGTCCAAATTGCGGTTTATCCAAATATTGCGGACGCCTCCAGGGAACACATCATACAGGCGATCAAGAGCATCCACTGATAGCCATTTTGAAGGAATGGCAGTCACCAGGACCGTGGTAGCTGACGCCCGCAATCGATGTTGGGGAGACGTCAGATATGTTTGCCGTAGCCTGATATAGCTACGAAGCTCGTCAAAGAAAACAGCACACACGTAGACAACGACAATGACTGCCAGAACCAGATGGGCCCAATATCGATTTGTATGTTCTGGCGCGATATTCCCCCAGGCCAGCTGATCCAAGCCAGTCACATTGTACCGAGTGCCGTTCCTAGACGCAACGTGTTTGGTGTCCTTTCCTCCAACTTTGTTCAAAGGAATAAGTACGGGGAGGATGATGAAAGAAAGAGGGAGAAAAATCTTAAGAAGCATTCGTAGGTATCGTAGGAAGAAGTAGGCATCGAGTCCACACTTCTGAATGAATTCTGAGTTGGAAGTCCTGAATACTGGTGCAACCCACCTAAAAAGACCAGCTGGGGAAGGATTTGTGCGTTCTCGTTCTGGGACTAGATATGTTCGGGGTTGGCTAAAACAATGAAATTCCCAGTGTTAAAAGAGTCTTTCAATTCCCTGTTTCCCTTTTGGAGATGGGGAACGGGGGATGAGTATTACTCACTATATCCTGGTCAGTTTTCCCTTGAGAAGGATGAACAGGAGAAATTCGACTGCAAAAATGATGACAGCGGTAGCTAGGGATGCCAGGAACGTGGTAATTGACATGCCCGCTGTCTTCTGGCCCGTGCCGCTCTGTGCGTCAAGCGCAGCGGCCACGCTCTGGTTGTTACTGGACATTTTCGGTAATGATGGCCAGTATCATCATCAACCACGGATTAACCCACCGCCGACAGAGGATGGATAAATGCAAGACGTAGAAGTCCCCCAAGCTAGAGAGTCCAAGGAGAATGGTCTTTTTAGGTCTTTTTAGGTCTTTTTAGGTCTTGTCGGCGAGGACCTGGCAGGTTCAGGTGTGTGAAGTACCGGCTTCGCAGACTGGAGAGGGGTGTGAATGTATTCTAGGGAAGGAAAAGGGAAGGAAAGAGAACATAAAGAGTGAACAATAAAGATACAAGAAAGAGAATGATGTGCTGTTTATGAAGGCAAAGGAGCTAATTAGACAAAGCAGAGTGAAAGAGTGTGTATACAGGTCTCTTTCAGTTGTCCACTATGCTTCTTCAACGTGGGTTTCCGGAGAGACAGACACTGTGAAAGGAAAGAGGGGAAACTAGGAGTTGACAAGTCAATAGAGAATAATCCCGTGCCCAGCGGTGCCCAGCGGGGGGAGGGGAGAGAGAGAGACAGAGAGAGAGAGACAGAGAGAGAGAGAGAGAGAGAGAGAGAGAGAGAGAGAGAGAGAGAGAGAGAGAGAGAGAGAGAGAGAGAGAGAGAGAGAGTGTGTGTGTGTGTGTGTGTGTGTATATGTATAGTTTAGAGAGGGAGAGAGGGAGAGCAAGTAATGAGCGAGTGAGTTGAAGTCATCGAGCATCGTCAAGAATTCTCCCTTGTCCTTTTCCTACCAGCAAACGGCAGGTCGTAACTAGCTGAGCCGACTCGTTGTGGAGTCGCTGTCACTTTTCCCTGGTTGAGGCACCAACCGCAAACCGGGCAATCACGAACAGCCAGCCGGCTATCTGCCCCCATCCTCCTCTCAGACAGGCCCCTTGTAGGCTCTGTCATCACCAACGACGACGATCATTAACTAATTATTCCGTGGATATTCTCCAATGTCCTCATCCCCAGGGTGCCTGGTGACAGCTGGTCTCCCTGCAACCCCCGGCGCTAATAATTGATCCTCACCCAAGATTTTGGTGGAATCGATGAAAAATCAAGGCACAGAGTATGAAGCCCGCAGCCTGAATGATGAGAGAACAGGGTTTTGGCGCCTTGTATCGTCTAAAATTTCTAACCGCTGAGCTGGCTACGGTAAAACGTGAGGGGCGGTCCCTGCAAACAAGCATTTGGGCTGCAGCACCAATCACGCAGCGCAGTGGGGTTTTTTTGGTGTTCTTCAGGGCTTCAATTCCCTGCCAATTGTTTGAAATGACGTCGGCGGTGAAACGATGGTGTGTATCACCCAAAAAAAGAAATCCAGTAATCGACGACCGTTGAAACAGAGATATTTTTTGTATGGATTGCTGGGTAGGAATAAAGTGTATTTGATTAGCGGTCTATTCTTCTGTTTGTTTGTTCAAAAAAGGTTGTTTGTTTTCAACTGGAATGACTGAAAATAAAGGTTCTGAAGATTACACTTTATACTTCCGCTGATCCCAGAGCTTACGGTAAAATCATGCTTCAAAGATCTCAGAACCTTGATCCAGTGGTTGAAGTCAACAACAATGGCCAAAAGTACATCAAAATTGTATACTATGGATATATTATATTAATTGCTTGCTCTAGAAATAAAGCGGAAGGAAGGGGATGTAAACTAGGAGATATGCAAAGCCATCAGTTTAGTTGCTAGGTGTTCGTTTCTCGGTTACATCTTCATTCGCTCCCATCATGAACAAGATTGTGATAACTATGACATAATATATTAGTAATCCTACAGATCTAACACGCCATCCTAAATAGGAATCACTTTACGCGTCGTCCAGGAAACCGCGTCTCACCACGCGACTTCCTCAGAAGTTTTCCTGCGAATTTCATCTCTCGCTCATTTATTTCAACCACGACAGCCACAACGACAACGACAACGACAGCACTCTCGATTCATCTTCTGCGCTTATTTCCAGTTAAAAAAAATACCCATATCCAGTAAACCATCTCAGTTCTATTGCCCATAACCCATAAAGGGCCTCGCTAGTGATGTCGACCCCTGGTTCAGCCAGCCGTCGCGGCCGCCCAGCTAGAAACTCCGCAGCTTCAACTCCTACCGACGCCAGCGCCTCCAATCCTCAACCCCAAAGCAGCCCTTCCTCTGCAGCAAACAGAGGCCATCAACTACAGAATAACTTGCAAAGTTCTCCACGGACATCAAGATGGTTGAGAGAGGCCAATGTTCCCGTTTCATCCCCTTTATTCTTTCGATCATCCTCCCCTCCTCAGCCGCAAGGTCATTCTCTTTCTTCAGATGCAAGAATGGAACCCAGTTCCCCGATTAGAGAGGCACCAAATGCTGGTGATGGGGACAGAACACCCATAGCAAATGCTCGTCCAATTGTTGGAGGTATATCTGCATCCTGCATTGTGTTTGGAAAACAAAAAAAAAAAAAAAAAAATGGCAAGCTAACTTTATATTCAACAGACTCTTCTCCAATTCGCTACATGTCCAGCTCAAGCCCACCTCGTGCAATTAACCACCAGAGTCGCACGGCTGATATCCATAGTAGTAGCAGTGGCATTTTTGTCCGGTCTTCCCAATCCATCCGATCAACAGGAGTCCCCAACGTATCCACAAGAAGAGGTGCTATTCACTCCGATGCATTTGCCTCCTCCTCAGGCCACCGCAGACAAGTATTCGTCGATGAGAATGGCATACCAGTTCGCGAGGGAGAACCTCATTCCGATGCTACATTTTCAAATATACAGCCAGATACTTCCGAAGCGGACGCCCTGGGTGGAAGCTCTACGCGCATCATTTGGGGTACCAATATCTCCATCCAGGACTCAATGGCCGCGTTCAAGAATTTCCTGTACAACTACGCTAAGAAATATCGCATGTGGGCTGACGGCGCTTCTGAGGAAGAAACCCGTGCCATGGGTGCTGCGGCTGAAGAAAAGGAATACATCAAGATGCTGAATGACATGCGTCAGCTGGGCGTAACGGGATTGAATCTTGATATTCGCAACCTGAAGGCTTACCCGTCAACGCTCAAGCTTTGGCATCAGGTCCAAGCATACCCGCAGGAAATAATTCCTATTATGGATCAAACTGTGAAGGATGTCATGATTGAGCTGGCATTGAAGGAAATGGAAGCTCTTAGAGCACACGCTAGTCAGAGACGCCAACCCAGAGCAAGAGACAGTAGTTCAGTTCCCCCTGCTCCCAGCTCTGAAATTGGAAATGGGATGGCACAGGTTCAACAGTCTGAAGTGCCGAATTTGCTGGCGGATGTTGAAAGCAAGACTTACAAGGTGTTACCCTTTGGGATGCATAAAACAGTCAACATGAGAGACTTGGATCCTGCAGGTATGCCAGGCTCCATTATATTTTGTTTTTTTTAAAAAAAGAGAGAATGTTGCTAACATTTTACAATTGCAGACATGGATAAACTCATTAGTATCAAGGGTCTCGTTATTCGAGCAACCCCTGTCATTCCAGATATGAAGGAAGGTAAGCAGTGGCCCCCCTTTACACAAATTATATTTAGCAGAACGCTTATCATAACCTTCTCTAGCGTTTTTCCGTTGCGAGGCTTGTCACTTCAGCGTTGCTGTCGATATCGACCGCGGCAAAATTACGGAACCTACCAAATGTCCACGGGAAATTTGCGGGATGCCCAACTCCATGCAACTCATCCACAACCGGTCGACCTTTGCTGATAAGCAGGTCATTAAACTCCAGGAAACACCCGACTCAATCCCTGACGGACAAACACCTCACTCGGTCTCGCTCTGTGCCTATGACGAACTGGTAGACGTTTGCAAGGCTGGTGATAGAGTTGTGGTTACTGGTATATTCCGCTGCAATCCTGTTCGGGTTAATCCACGCCAACGAACAACCAAATCTCTATTCAAGACTTATGTGGATGTGCTCCATGTGCAGAAAACTGACCGCAAGAAACTTGGTGTCGATACCATGACCGTGGAGCAAGAGCTTTCCGAGCAGATTGCAGGAGACGTGGAGCATGTTAGGAAAGTCACCGCGGAAGAGGAGGCAAAAATCAAAGAAACTGCTCGGAGACCTGATATCTACGAGCTTCTTTCACGGTCTCTAGCACCGAGTATTTATGAGATGGAGGACGTGAAAAAGGGAATTCTGCTGCAACTGTTTGGCGGGACAAATAAGATCTTTGAAAAGGGTGGCAACCCGCGATACCGTGGTGACATCAATGTTCTTCTCTGTGGAGATCCCTCGACGTCGAAATCTCAACTACTACAGTATGTGCATAAGATCGCACCACGGGGTGTGTATACGAGCGGCAAAGGCTCGTCCGCTGTCGGTCTCACAGCATACGTGACCCGTGATCCCGACTCGAGACAACTAGTCCTCGAGTCCGGCGCCCTCGTCCTCTCCGACGGGGGTGTCTGTTGCATCGACGAATTTGACAAGATGAACGATTCAACTCGTTCCGTTCTGCATGAAGTGATGGAACAGCAGACCGTCTCCATTGCCAAAGCGGGAATCATCACGACACTGAATGCGCGCACGAGTATCCTGGCTTCAGCCAACCCTATTGGAAGCAAATATAACCCCAACCTCCCCGTGCCACAGAACATCGACCTGCCCCCGACATTGCTTTCTCGGTTTGATTTAGTATACCTTGTTCTGGACCGGATTGACGAGCAGAACGACCGTCGACTGGCCAAGCATTTAGTAGGAATGTATCTTGAAGATACCCCTGAAAGTGGTAGTAGTGAGGAGATTCTTGTCAGTTACCTTTTATACCCGCTCCCACCTCCCCTCCCCCCCCCCAAAAAAAAAAAAAAAAAAAAAAAAAAACCCAACCAAACCCACATACTTCAGCTCACACACGAAACAATCCCTCCCCGCTAACCCCCACAATCTCTAAAACACTTAAACAGCCCATCGAATTCCTAACAGCCTACATAACATACGCCAAAACAAACATAAACCCAACCCTAACCCCGGAAGCCAGCACAGCCCTCGTAAACGCCTACGTCGCCATGCGCAAACTAGGCGACGACATCCGGTCCGCTGACAGACGCATAACAGCCACAACCCGGCAGCTCGAATCCATGATCCGCCTCGCAGAAGCACACGCCCGCATGCGCCTATCCAGCGAAGTCCACGCCAGCGACGTCGAGGAAGCTGTTCGTCTGATCCGATCGGCGCTCAAGCAGGCAGCCACGGATGCGCGGACAGGGCTGATTGATATGAGCCTGTTGACGGAGGGGACAAGTGCGAGTGAGAGGAGGCTCCGGGAAGATTTGAAGAGGGAGGTGCTGCGGGTTGTGGAGGAGTTGGGTGGGGGGAGCGGGGGAGTGGGGGTGAGGTGGTCGGAGGTATTGAGGAGGGTGGGGGAGGGAAGTAGTATGGAGGTTGATGGGATGGCGTTTGCGGGGGCGGTGAAGGGGTTGGAGGGCGAGGGGAAGGTTACGGTTGTCGGGGAGGGGGCGAGGAGGAGTATTAGGCGGGTTGGGGGGGTTGTTTAAGTGTTTTTTTTTTATATATTTATTTTGCTTATTTATTTATTTACCCCAAAGAGCTGTTGATTGCAGAGAAGCTATTTGGGAATTTGCTCTCGGGACATGATGGGGATTCAATCGATATGTGGATTGGATTGTTTATGATATGTCAAGGTGTGGGAGTTCAAGTCTAGTGATGTCCATGGGTGGGTACATTGCTTGTGGTGATTGATACTGAGATAGAGTTTTCTATACTTTTGACAAATTTCCTTGCTGCAGACTTGCTAAGTAACTAGTAAGTTAGTTACTAGTTAGTTAGCTAACTACCAGTTAACTAGTAGTTAGTTCACTCTCTGTAGGGAAACTATTACTAGATTCCAGATGATGTCATCCCGCAAGAAGAGACACTAAACCCCTTCCAGCCTATCGATATAACCTTTCACGTGTTCTGGCAGCGTCTTCTGATTGGCCAATGGTTCCCAGCCGTGATCTAGCTGCGGGCCGGCTCAGTCACGTGGTGGTGGCTTAGTCACAAGATTTGATTGGCGAGACATCTGCAGAGCTTGTTATTATGTATGGCAAGTCAGATTTTGCAGGCGGAGTTTTTGTGTTGGTAGGTGTTATTTCTCCCTCTGGTTCCTCTGTATATGGGGAATTGTATCTTCTATTTATTTATTTCTTGTTTTTGCCCTATCTTTTGTATATTTGCCTTGTCTCTGTGTATATCCGTGTGTGTGTGTGTGTGTGTGTGTGTGTGTGTGTGTGTGTGT